TTAAAATAAAGGTGATCAGGAATCTAACCCGAATGATACTATCAACAAGTAATAAACATCCATCCTTGATTCAGTGAGCTACTTAAGCATTCCTTAGCATTATGGACTTTAGTTAGCCATCCAGTTTCCAGACTACTTGGCAGACTTGAAGTATATCCTTAAGCATCTTACTGAATCAAAGCCTGGTTGTTCTGGTGTGGGTGATTGTGATAGTTATTGAAGAATAACTAAAACAACGTACTCAGTCTGCAATATAGACAGGCTGAACATGAGAATTTATAGTGGTAGCTGATAGCATGTGAGCTGACTATATCATCTCCCTAGATCTCCATTCCTCCCCAAGGTCCAGCTAAAGCTCCCAGTGAAACCTGGCTTCAGGAATTGACTATGGGGATATACAGCCACCACTGTGGAGCTGAAGCTGCACTTTAAGTGTTTCATAACTTCATCATAGATTTGTGGGGTAACTAGTAACGCTGGTGCAAAGGAAAAGTGACACCACTTCCCCAGTGGAGTGGCATTACCTGGCATTCAGATTGGCGTAACTGAGAAGCCAGTTGTGCCCCGACAGTGTAGTTGTCACTGAGGGGCTTTGGCAAGTCAAAAAAAAAAAACCAACCAAACCTGACACAGTCTGTAGTAGCAGCCTGCATTTTTGTAAATTCTGCCATACAGAATTTATATCAAAACTGCTATTTTGCAATTTAAGAACTTTGTTTAAGGAAAAAAAGGACAATTAATTGTGGGTGGGGGGCAAGGGGGAAGAACAAAAAAGAGCTCATTTACAATGGCTAGAACTGGGGCAAAGGCTTCATTACATGACTTTTCACTGTTTCTAGGATTTTCCTGCATCTCATTCTTCTAGCATGGTGATAACTACTGTGTGTCTCCTTTAAAGAATGGAGCCTCTGTCTGTACTTTTACTGGAATGTTTACCTCACATTTCCATGTTGGTTATTCTTGGCTTTTTTTGTATATTTTTTCCAAAACAGATGCAAAAAAAATTATCAAAAAACCAAAAGTGTAGCCTGGTCTCTGTCATTTGCCTGTGACACTAAGAAAATCTGGGATGTCTATTTGTGTCTGGTCTTGCGGTGTATCTTCCAGGTTGGTATTTTCTTCTGACTCTACCGATGTCTGCTTCAGTCTTAGGAATATAAGGATCAGACTTGGGCTATGCAGACTTTCTGTGACCATGAAGAACCATCGATGGTGTTCTGGCTCCCTTACCACAACTTTGATCCAAATTCCACAGGGAAAATTTCTGCTGAATGCATTTGGCTGTGGAATTATTCTGCTGTGTTAGGAGAATAACGACATGTTAGGAAAGCTTATCAGCAATGAATACTCCATTCAAGACGCCCAGTCAGCAGCACCCAAGTCCACTGCAAAAGGTTAGCAGGGGGTTGAATTCTGAGATAAAAACTTTATGATCTGTAGCCTAGTTTTTGCAGCTGTGGATCCTGGGGTTGTGTTCATCCCAAGTGTGCTGTAACCACAGAGTGAATCTTGTGTTCTTCGTCAATAGCTTCCACAGAATTGGTAGTGATGTTGTCCCCCTCTGCTTATGGCGTGGGCAGCCTTTCTGAACGTGGAAGATGTGGTTTTCAGTTTCTTCCCCATCTTCCAGGTTGAAGAAGGATTTGGATCTCGATTTTTCACTTCCTGAAGGACTGCTTTATCCTTCCAGTTATAGCGCAGCACGGTGAGAGGCACCTGTCTTCACTTTGAAACACGCAAGTGAGCCCTGCTCTCTTCTCTGACATGGTACGTAGGGATGCCTACACCCAGGAGAGGTCTGCAGGTAGATGCAGATCCACAGGGGTGCGCATGCTTGTTTGCAAATGCCTAAGTTCTGGATGACTGGTCAGATGAAGCTACACATGTTCACTGCATTTCTTCTTGGCCAGCTCTATGTGTTTACCACCATTTTAGATTTATAGTACCCTCAGCTTTTTCCAGTTGACAGATAACCCTCTGCACAGGAAGTCTAAACCTCACAGCACATTTGCTTTTCCCAGGTACCTTTCTCTTCAGGAGCAATGTGTGTCCACCTCCTGGAATCTGTGACCCAGTGAAAAATCAGGCTTTAGGTAGCCTTTGGATTTTTTTTTTTTTTTTTTAGTTCCCGTCCTGAGGCACATCATTCTCTATATGCTGTGTACAGTGAGCTTAGACAGCTAACAGCGGCTTCTGTAATCCAGTCTTATGACCAGCTGCGTGAAATAAACATATTGCAGTGGCTAGCTTTTCATCATGGAGTTGGATCATCTCTTAAGACGGATGTATGGCCCTTGGGCTGTGTGCAGTTTCATGCACTTGAGATATGAACCTGACATCTAACATGACTGGCAGCAGTGTCTGACACCCATGCTTGGGGGGGTCACTGTGGCCTCTCTCTGCCCCTCAGCTAAGGACAGTGGGTACCCCTGCAGAGCTGTTGCTCTTGCTCCTCTCGGCGTGCGGATTGTGCCTCTTGGCTGTGCGAACCACTCTGGAACGTGACTCTTGGGATCAGGAAAACCATCTGCCCCTGCCTTAATTGAATATGGAGGGAAAATTGTCACATCTCATCGAAACCAGAGGTCAGCATTAGAAACAAAATGTTCATCCTCCCCCAAACTTGAATGGGCAGACTTTGCTGATGCCGCCACAGGCTGGCAGATGTGGTGGTGTAGGACAGCCTCCCTCAGCCGGTTGTACACGTGCAGGAGCCTCTTCCTAGTGCACCGCAGCTTTCTCTCATTCATGGGGACACCAGCCCACCCAGTCTGGCATCCACTCTCTCTGTTAAGAAACACCCTCCTAACCTGTCATCTTTGCACTTTCTTTTGATCTTCTCTACTGGCTGTGCCTAAAACAAATGAAGATCAGCCCTCCTGCAAATGCATGGGTGGGGCTTTTATTTATTTATAATTGAATTCAATAGAAGTTAGGTACTTTTGAAAGCCCAAGGATTAAAAAAACAGTGTTTAAGTACCTAGACGTCTTATCCCTTCCATGGCACAGGTGTTCTATGCAAGACTTTGATCTCATTTCAGACTTCTGCTTTTTCAGCTTGTTACAAGCAGTTGAAAGTTTTGCATCTCGAACGCCCACATCTGATCTTCCCTTCTACATTCGCCCCTGCAGCTTCTTGCACAGGTGTGCTGACGGAAGCGTGAGGTTTGCACCCAGATGGACTAAAGTATCTGAGATCAGGCAATTCTCAATTTGACATAACTCAGACACAGCAGAACATGAGACAAGGCTGTTGTCATGCTCTTCTCTTGCCTGTCCTATTTTTCAGTCTTCTGTTTTTCACTCTCTCTTCTGATCATATTACATGAGCTATGGAAGTTACACACTGGGAGACACACAGAAGGCGGGGATGAGCAGAAAGTGCAACTACCACTGAAAGTGTGTTTTTAGATAATAAGTACCAAGTAAGAGGAAACAAAGAGGTGTAAGTATCTCTCCTGATGGAAAGAAGACATAATTTCATGAAAAAAATACTTCCAATTCATTGCTCCCAAACAGCCTCTGAAGCAGACAAGATGACACATATTAGGCTATTTATCATACTGTGTTTTTCCGTAAGCTACAGGGATTTGTGAACAGCCAGCCTTCCACATTGACCAGTGAAGCATCCCGAGTTTCCTCATATCCACCCCGCAATGGAACATGTAGTAGTACACTTATGCTATTCTGTAATTCCCCAGGACTCACAAGGAGAAAAGAACAGGTTTCTTGAATTTCTTCAGAGCTATGAGAAGAAAGCAGCACTTGCGAAGTTTGCTGCATAAAGAAACCGAGCACTGTAACACACAAAAGCTGCAGTTCCTAAGCATGCTTTAGGTATTTGTGTGCTAAAAGACACGAGGGGAGCAAGGGTTCAGGAGAGCGAGTGGTGTAACCAAGGTATTTCTGAATCATTCCCAAAATATCACACATAGAGAATCTAACCTCAGTGTAAACAACCTGTTTCGTAGAAAACATCCACAAAGTACCAGGCATTTCTCAGACTGCTGTGGATTGTTTTCTTTTCTTGTCTGCCTGACTTAACTGCTTGCCTCCTCTGATTAAAAGCCAACTTACATCATCAGTTACACAGGAAGAAAAACTAACATACAGGTATTATATGTCTTTCTATAGCTACATAAAAACTAACATATAAGAAAAACTAATAGGTATTAGAAGGATCCACAGAACTTACAAAAACGGGGTCCTTCAACAGACATGGAATTCTGCAAGCTGCCTTGATGGCAGCTGCTTTGATATGGCTGTTGGAGAGTTCACCATTACGGAGATAAGAGATTTCAGAATTCCACTATCTTCATGTAGCAATTTTGAGTAGAACAAGTGGTTTTATTTAAGATAGCACCTGTGATGACTTTTAGTAACATTATTGCTGACAGGGTCTTCTTTTCAATCTCAAGGAAAAAAAAAAAAAAGAAAAAAAAAAGAAAAAAAGAAAAAAAAGGAAAAAAAGAAAAAAAAAGAAAAAAGAAAAAAAGAAAAAAAAGGAAAAAAAGAAAAAAAAAGAAAAAAAGAAAAAGTTATGCTAGCTTACCTCCCCTCTCCTTCCCCAAGTTTGCTGGCCCAGCTAGTCTTGGTGGCCGAGTTGAACAGGGCTCCTGACATAGCCAAACCGCACTTGCAAAAGCCCATCAGAGTTCAGAACGAAGGCAGGAAGTTCACAAGGTGCAGGGAAGAAATTGAGAGTTGGTCCCCCCCTGTTTATCCCCACTGGACCCAGTAACTGTTGGGCAGCACGGTAAAGGCCAGGAAGCATACATTAGTACCGTTACTGACCACACCGCGTCACTGTTTCACAGGGAGAACTTCTGCTCTTTTTTCCGTATATAATAAAATAGAAACAATGAAACCTGAGAACAACTAAAGGAACTTTTATTAGTGATATTCATCTGTTTGGTTGCTACCACAATGAAAGGGCTCTGCTGCTCTGCAGTCCTGCCTTAGGAACACTAGCAAAGCAAAGCGATGCTTCGTGGTGCGACTCAGTGCTCCCAGGTAATTTTCAGGTTTGGGGGTAGCTCTGCAGCGCACAGTTCATCAAACTTGGACACATCCTTCACAGGAGTGCTATAGAAATTCAAGACATCCTCAGCACTGCGCATCAGGTGGAGCTGTGAATTGGGGACAGCGTGACCAAGTTCTGCTGCCAGCTGAGCCAGGAGGCGATACTTCAACCTGTTTTCTTTGAGGGGTGTCTGCTGCCAATTACCAGGAAGTGAGGGTCCAAAAATCTCCTTGACGTAAGACTCAAGGCAGGTCTGTATATCCTCCGGAGGAAGATAGCTTCTGCTGCGTGGTGGGGGACAAATGAGGCTGGGTTCACTTTTCTCTTGAAGAATTATTTTGTCTGCTTCTACTTCTTTTTCCTCCTTCCTGTTGACACCAGACAGAAGTATTTTCAGTCTCTGGGCTACTCAGGACTGAGTCAGAGCGCATTTCTATTCGTAGTCTTTTAATACTGGACTCAACCTACCCTGTAGAGAGTTTACACATTCTGTGACACAGCAGGTTCATTATGCATGCAAGAACAACAGCGCATAGGCTAGACCTTTGGCGTTCCCCCAAATGCAGCTTGCCACATAAGTGGTCTCTACATAGCGACCACCTGCCTAGCTTACTTTATTGGTCTGAGTGTAAACAGAATTTTAACCAGATTAATGTAACCAAGTTACATTAATGGAGTTAGAGCTCCATTTTCTAATCTAAGGGATAACACAAAATAACCACTACTGTAGAAAAAATTAGTGCCCACAGATAAAAAAAAGTATGATCACTAGTTTTAACTAGAAAATTGAAGCTTACCCCAAGTTATTTGACTTGCTCATATGCCACAATCTAGTCAATAACACAAGCATGGTTTCACCTAAAAAGTTATACAGAAACGACCATTTTTCATTCCCATTGTAATACTGCCCTGAAACATCTCTTCTTCCACACCTAGCAAGTTCCCTTACCAAAGCAGGTGAGAGCATTATAAAACATAGCTCTGCACCGTCACACCCGCCTGCTCG